TTGTTACTATAATCTCTATAATTTTGTAAAAAACATATGACAACATAAATCAGTCAAAGATTTAATAATTGGCGATTCCATTTTTATGACTCATTAATAAATCATGTGTCGATGCTTTCAGATAGATTTAAGTTAATTCAAAGATTTCATTAGGCAATCAGCTGTTATTTGCAGTGCTAATGTTAATTATTCCTTGTCCACAAATAGATTAGTTACAGGCAGATAGCATGTATAGCTTAGGATAATAAAGGTTCCAAATTTCCAAAGAAGCTTCAATAGAAAGAAGCACCTTCAATATTTTCTATTTCTAACAAAACTTGATATACTGTATAAGCTCCAAAGATATTTAATTCCATCCTTACTTTATATATATAAATATTATTTAATCTTGTAATTAATCACAACATTAGATTTTTTATCTAGATAATACATGATAAAGCTTTGTTCTATAAAAATTATATCTAATAATATGTTTTTTAATACAAAAATAATACAATCGCGCATAATGATATAGCATGTAATAATTCCAATGCAATTCAAATTAATGAGATTACGTTGATACTAAAAACTCTAGATAATAAAACATATTAAGAATATTAATCTCTAATATTATCTAACAATATGTTTGCATATACTAATTTTCTTAATAATTAATTATGTTAATTGAAAATTTCTAATTTTTTTAAATATTAAAATTCTTGTATCAAAGAAAAATATAAACTTACCGGTTTTTTATTAAGAAACTGTGATTGCAGTGCGAGGATGTAGTAGAGCCAGAACAGTCTCAAAATGTATCCGTAAATCAACCAATCGGCATTATCTGCGTATTCCACATTTCTCGGATCGCTGCAATTGGTATGATAAATTGCAGTTAGGGCCAGGTAACGTGACCAAGCACTAGATACTGGAATGATCTCTTGCGGCCATTCGTTCTGATAGGTGAGCAACGTAACGATGTGAACAATCACGATGACCATAACGATCCTGCATATCACGGAGAAACCCTTTCGCAGTTTTTTGTTGCAAGCCCGGCACGTAGCAGCACCGAGAAATACTAAAAAGTAGACAGCTGCCTCTATTGATGGATTTAAGGCCGCGACGCAACATAATGATGCCAAAACAACATAGGTACCGATACTGCCCAGAAAGTTGATTATCTAACGGAATAAATAGATTGAATTATATTTTCAATCAAATATTTCAGTTCAGATGTGTAATTTAAGCTAGTGTCAATAGCTAGTGTCGATTTCGATTTGATTTGAATTTAACAACATAAATGGCATGTCTTGTATATATAGTTATATTAATTATTATATACAATTTTTTATTTTGCATGCTGAATATATGAGCAACACAGAAATATATAATTACCTTTGTCCTATTGTCTTCTGTTTTATTTTGCTGAGAATTAGTTTCTTGATGAAGAACAGTTTCCTCTTCATGGCTAACACGATTTTGTGTAAGAAAACGACATATAAAATATATGGCAAGTACAGTGGGTAAGACTATGAGTTCTGGCGTTAGCCAATAAAAAATTTCCCACACAGATGCGCTATCTAATCTGACAAAGCCTATATGTCTGAGAAGCTTTTCTATAAACTCGCCTAAAAAAATGTTATTCAAAATTAAGATTATTTTATTATAAATTTTGTCGTTTCTAAATATGCTAAAAAATTTTTAGTATGAGAGGATTAACGCCTAAATTTAAAGAAAATGCTATCAATTTGCTTAAATTTGATTGTTAATCCCCTTATATTGCTCTGCAAACAACAAACCTATATTATTCTTTTAATTTTATTTTACATTCTACATAATATTTATTTGAATATTATTATATATTATTTATAAATATTACATATGTAGATATGTGTACATATAATATATATAGTATTTAAAAAATATTCACAGATTTTAATATAATTTTAAAGATAACATAATATTTAGATCAAAGTATTTTGCTTACAGTTTTGTAGAAAATGTCCGTAGGGTGGTAGTGACAAAAGAACAATATGAAAGGAGATCTGAGCTACGACCATAAGAACGGCTAGGCAGATACAAGTCTTCAGATATATTCCCGTGTGGCCTGTCATGGTAGTGTGTGTTGGTATTGGAACTATCGGGGAATAAAGCATTAGCCCCAGATAAACGATCGACAGTCCCGCTGGTCGCCATATCGTACCTATAAATTCATATTTATGATGTTTAGTATTTTGATATAATTTGTAATTTTTATTTTTTTTTTAAAGAATTTGAGAATTCTTGAAAAAAATTTTTTACAAAAGATTTAGATGTCAAAAATATAAAAATAAAAAAAAATATAAAAATATAAAAATATAAGATGCTAACTATATATTATTATTATAAGAAAATTTGTAAAAATTATTCTACTTTAGTTTATTAAAAATATTTATAAATCTTTTGTTAAAATTTATATCTAATTAGTTATTTTTTTATAAAATAATTTACTTTTATTTTAAGGATTTTATTGAGAAAACTTTTCATCACTGATATGAGATATAATAACACATAAAGCACATAAAGTTATTTCTACGTTTGTGAAAAGGTCATTTGCGATGAGAGCTAGGACTAGGAAATGACATTTCAATCCCCTAGGTCCTTTGCTTTTCCATTAAGACCTTTGCTTTTTATTATTATTCATTTACTCTAAATTCTATTCTTTCTTTTTGTAAATATTCTATAGTTTTGTTATATAAAAATTATGTTATATAAAAATTATGTGCAAATTATGTGCAATATTAAACACTTTAATATCTAATATTTCATAAATATATTTAAGTTAGTATATTGATGTGCAAAAAATATCAAAAAATTCTGATTAAACTTAAATATATATTTAATAAAAGAATATACTATTAAACGAACACCCGGTATATAGCTAGAACAGACGTACACGTGTTGATGATAATTAATGTGAATCATAGTGAGTTTTTAGTCTGGCGATGATAATTATTTTTACGTCTTCATGGAATGTTACAAATATTTCATAAACTAACGCAACTGTTTATTCGCTGATTTAATATGCAGAAATTTACATTGTTTGAACATATCAAATGTTTGCACGAATGTATAATACCATTTTTAGTTGTCGCTTCTAGATAGCTTACTCATCTTATTTGTAGTACGTGTTATATTTGCACGATACACATAAATAACATTGTGTTGCTGCCAAGTGAAGACAAAAGTGAATGATTTCACTAATTACTTTAACAATAACTATAATTTTTTTAAGTAAATTTTGCATGTATATTAATATAATACAAAAGCTTTCTCTTTTTCTGTAATGGTGTTCAGTTTGTTATCTAGTTATAACAATTGTTATTGTTTTCAACATTGCATTTCTGATAAATTATACATTACTTCTTTGATTTAAATATTAATATACTAATGTACAGCTGTCTATTTTTTAAGTAAATAATTAAGGAATTACATGGCTACTTATTAAGTGATTCTCCTATTTCATATTAATAAATTTTTGTTCTTAAAATAAATTGCCGAAGTAATAAAGCATTAATTACGCGTTTAAATTTTTGATAATCGCATACGCAATGTAGATAATGATCGTATCACTTATGTTAAATTTGTATGTTATATCTCTATCATAAGCTTTTTTTTTTATAGTGAAAGAGGTCAAGGCTTGTCTGAAGAGTTTCACATTATGAAACTGGTACCGGAAATAAGGACATAACACGCACGAAATTTTTACTAATATTCTTTGAACATTCTTATGAAATACAAAGTCGCATGTAATAATTAATTATTACATTTGCAAGGATTCAACATTGCTCATAACTTTTTTATATTATGTTATTTGACTTACACACGCTTATGTCGAACGTGCTGTGTAATATATTAAATTAATTAATTAATTAATTAATTTTCATTGCTTTGATAATATTTCGTTAATTAAACAATAGAACTCAATTAAATTTATAAAAATAAATAGAAATGTATGATAGTTATAATATATCATCTTTGTACAATATTTTAGTACAAATTATTATGTTATTTCAAAATTTAACATAATTATTTATTACTTACATTATTTAAGAAAAAAGTTTATAAAATATTACAATCAGTTGTCACACGTCATGTTTATGTCAGTCGAAAAATTTGATTTAACAAATTCAAGTTGGATTATAAATATTATATTTTTAATAATAGAACTCTTAGTATTCATTTCGAACACTTCAATATTATCACGCTCGAATGTTTGTTTAGACAAAGTAAATCCTACTCTCGTCTGCTATGGATATGCGAGTTCAAGCGCCTACTCCCTAATTTTAGAACACTCTTCGAGCCGCTTAGACACGTAATGTTCACGTCGATTTTACGGAAATAGTTTCTGTTTCATTTATTTTGCTTTTTTGCATAGTTTATATTATATAGAAGTAATTAAGTTATTTCATTATTATAATATTTACAGAATGTAATACAAAAATATATTAATTAGTATTAAATTTAATTACTTTAAATGTTTTTAAAATATATAATGTATTATTATTATATGCATTATTTAATGTATGTTAAGTAGAATCTTTGAACAATTTATTTTATTTTTCTTCTCTTTTTTGCATAATGTATATTGTATAAAATAATTTTTATACAAAAATAAAATTATTGAAAGTCATTAATATAGAATTTATGATTCATTCATCAGATAGTTATAGATTTGTATTTATTTTTTACAAAATAAACTTGAAAAATATAAATTATAAAATATAAATTATAAATGTCGATGATGATGTATTGCAAGTGATCCAACATGTGGCAAGTTGATAACGTACTGATAAATAATGACATTATTACTCTTCGCTGATAATAGACGGATCAATAAAACATTAATCTATTTGATTAAATTTATTCATGTATATGTCTTTCAATATATATATATATATATATATATATATATGCGTATTAATTTTTAATAAATATGGGAGATAATATATTTTTTATTAAATATTACAGATCTAATTGCTCTATTATCTTATCTATTAAAAAAATAAAATAAAAAAATGTTTATTTAAACTTTATTTAACATTTAGTTCTCAAATAAAAAGGAATAATTTGACTAATATCCAAATGTTATTAAATATTCAAATGTTTATTAAAAATTGATAGAAATTATAATATAAGAAGAACGCGTGAAATGATAAAACAAAATGTAAGGTTTAAATAGTGAATACGCAATCATCACAAGAAATAACATGGAATGTTGCTATTTCCTGTGCTATCAATTAGCATATGTAATATTGAATATGGTTATGCAAAGTATGGGTAGAAATTCAAGATTTCTTGATACATGATCCTTGCTTATTTTGTAGTCTTTCCTTTACGAATGATGATAAATTGAATTTCTTGTTTTTTGTTTCATTGCTATTCAACTATGGCAATCAACAAGCTAAGGTTGTTAGTAGACTAGAAATAGTGACGATTACGGGTATGACATCATCGGTGTATTTATTATTTTCTTATGTCACACAAAAATTCTAGAAAATATATTTTCATAATACAAAAGATCATCTTCTTTTACGTGAATACATTTATTTTTTTTAATTGTATATTAATATCTACAAAAATTCTATAAAATTAAAATTTCCTATTATGTTGTTTATATTTAATTATTTTTCTCTAAAATAACTACCTTTCTCTAAAAACTATAATAATTTTTATTAAGAATATTGTATGTATTTAATTTTATTTTTAAGTTTTCTCAAACTCAATAACCAAAGCAATTAATATAGCGATAAATATATGAAAAATACAATAGTTATATAAGACAGTCGAAATTTTGTGTGTAGTCTATTTGTTATTTGTTAAAAAGAAACAAAACAGAAAGTGAAACAGAGAAGTAATTATATGAATGAAACTCACATCCAGCTAAGACGACTGGTAGAACGACCCTGAGAAGGGCCACGTTCAGCCAGTATTTCGTCATGCTTCAAATTGCCTGGATGGTCTTTCACCCTGAAACAAAGAAAAAAAGAGACATAATGACGAGAACACTTTTATTTTTTTTCTATGGTTGTAAACTTTTTGGCATCGGTAAGAAAGTGCTCTTGCAGTCGAACATCTTTCGAGCAACTTCGTTTCACCAAAAGACGCAATGCTGATATTCCGCCCTTCGTTTTACGATCGCGCTGACCCTTCCAGACCATAAACTTTTTTCATAAACCGGTTTTCAACGCCTTGTTCGACATGTCATATTCTTCAAACCATCGCAGCGGTAATACGAACTGAATCGCTATTGACATTTAAAATTACTCATAATTATTTATATGCGGTGTGAATTTTTTCAATTGTACGTAACAGCAATCATTAATTAATACTGATAATTATTATAGTTTGAAGTCATCTTATTATTAATAAAATAATTCTGTGAGTTATTTGGCGTATACATAACAGGATAGCAATTAAGTAGTTGGGATAAAATGGTAGTCGAAAGTTCCCGAAATGACATGCCATTAAGCAATTCTGGGAATGAGAGGGAGTATGTTTTTGGTCGTGAGAGGATTCAGAAAAAAAGAGGCGCGCCTACCTTAATTATGGGCCAATTACATAGGGACGACATTGCTGAGAGGTGCGCCAGTTACGCTTTTATTGTATGAAGATGCGAACGAGAACAGTGTATGACGCAGAAAGGGGGGGAAAACAAAGTTGCGTGAGGATATTATTTTACCATGAGTGATACCAATCAACTTTGTTTTAGAATTCTATGCAATGTGATAACAATCTTTATGGTATAGTCTGTGAAGAAAAAAAAAGAGAGGAAAGTGTAAACTAAGATAAAATGAGATAAGAGATAGATAGTGACTAAAAGAAATTATTTGTTTTCTTTAAATGCGATATGTAATTTAATTTCTTCTAATTTAAATTCTAATCTAAATTCTTATAATCTAAGATATATTATAGTAAAACTAGTAAATAATATACAACATTAATTTATTTTCTATAATCAATTTTTTAATAATTGAAAATTCTTCAATCGTTTAATACACTAAGAAAATACCATTTTCTTCAGTAACAATTTTACTATACTAATACTAATTTTTAATTTTAATATACTAATACTAATTTTTTTACAAAAAGTTATATCTGCAGCAAACCATTTTTTCTCAAAAAATATTATAATAAATTTTAAACCATTTTATTTATAAAATGAAAAAGCAAAAGATAACACAAGTAAATGTAGAATTAATTTATTGAAAAACGAATTTAAGATTTCTTGTGATTTCTTAATGGAAGAAAGAAAACATCATCGGATATTATCAGAGATAACGTAAGGTGCGTCTAATGGCTTTACTTATTGGACTGCACATGGGAGACGAATTGGGTGGAGCGCTATTCCCCTTGTGATAAATAATACGTTGATCGACAACAGTAAATATACTTTGTATGATTCACATACAACAATTTTTTTTCAAGATATTGGAATGACTATCGATAATCTCAGTATACATTTTTTAGTGTATAAATTTTTAGAGTTTAACAATAGTTTAACAATTCGAGACCGTAAACGTAATGAATTCTTGCAACTTGCAATTCTGCAAACGTAATGAATTCTTGAACGTTCACACATGTGTCACGTGTGTTACATTTTAATTAGTCAGTTTAACTTGACTATTTATATGAATCATAAGTGAAGTCAGAGTATGCCAGTCAAATATACAAACGCATAACTTTAGAATTTTATAAATGGCAATGCTGTTTCTCTACTTACTCAAAATGTCTTTAGAATTTTATAAACAAACACTATTGTTACACTGTACATAATAATTATATTATATTATTTTATAATAATATAATTATATTAAATTATATTTAAAATTATATTAAATTATATTATAATAGCAACATTATATATATATTGTATATATATATATATATATATATATATATAAAATATATATATAATAAAATTTGTCTTAATTCTAACAATTTGTTGTTTAATTTAATTATTATAAATACGGTGATACAAATTATTACACACGAAATAAATTCAATCTAATAAGCAAATAATAAATTGAAGAAATTATCACATCCGTTACCACTATCATTGAATATATATCATGAATAATCATCTCTAGTTATTGGCCAATCTATGATATAATAAATATAATTATTTTTAATCTCTCCCTTTGCCCGCGCGCACATGTGTGTGTATGTGTGGGTGTGTGTATATGATGATTAATAATTCACATTTTCCAACACTATTATATTTGAACGACATTCATCCAGCACACACAGCATACACACATATACATACGCACACATATCGTTCTAGATCTAGACATATTTTTAATATTAATATGCTACGACATTTATTTTTTGTTATCTTCTGATATGCGGAAAACTATGTTTTGATTGAATTTCGTAGGAATAATATATGAAATGTGCAGGTTGCGTGTTCAGCTGAGGTGTTTTATGTAAAGATGCGTATCACATTATAACGAGGGATTAATTAAGAGAATGCATATGTAAAAAATAAATTGCATTGTAAAACATTATACTGGATTTCTTTATAATTTTGATAATTGTGTTAGATTATCTTAATGTCTGAAACTATTATTCTGATTGTAAAATATAGACAAATAATACATTTTTGGAATGTTTCAAATGATTATTGAAATAACTTTTTAAAGTATTTTGCAAAAATATATTAAATATATAAAACATATTCAATATATTTAATATATTAAAGATGTTAAAATTTTCGCAATCCATATTTCCCAAAGATATTGTAAGAGATTGTAAAAACATGATTGTGAATTAATTATCGAATGTTCATTCATCTCATAATATGACATGTTATAGACTAATTCCAATATCAATTATTATAATATAATTTAAATTATTTCATTTTACAATCATAAATAAAATAGGAATTAATAGTGAATAATACTTCATAAAAACAAAAATATAAAGCATAAAATTATGTTATATATTACTTGTTAATAAATAATCGCAGCAAAATAAAATGTAAGATTTAATTTATTGCTGTTTTGCTACTGCTTACAATGATTATTTAGTAAGAATTAAATCGAATTTTATATTTTTTTTCAAATCAGAATCAAATCTAATTGATAAAATTTCATCCGAATCGAATTACCGTTAAATAACATCATAAATAAAATCATTAAATAACATAATTTATAATTAACAAAATAATTATTATTATAAAATTATGTATGTATATACGTGAAATGGAATGCATCTTTATTTTATTTTAAAAAATAGCTACACTGTTTTTTTAATGGAAAGTAACTTGTAATATTGTCAATATACATAATTCATATTTCTAAATTTTAAATTTTCGAATTAAATTTTAAATTTTAGTTTGAAATAATAAAAATTTAAATCCGAATCAAATAGCTCACATTTCTATGTAGAAGTTGTACATTTCAATTACGCGATAATTTGATTAATAATATTTTTAAAATAAAAGTGAAGTTATTCAATATCCATATATAAATTATCCATCAATATGCACAATTAAATTTTTTTATTAATAATTATAAAATCAAACCGATGTATGCGCACATGCATAATACATAAATATATAAGAAAATTTACGTGTAGATAATTATATGAATAATTTAACACAACTATAAATACTTAAAAATATTACTTATTGTTTTATTTAACAACAATTAATTTATATAAATTTTAAATTTTTACTTTTATTTAATAATTTTGGCTTAAAGCAAAAGGTGAATATAAAATCTAATCAAAAATTTTAATCATAAAGCTAGGTGAAAAATTTCGTAGGATTTTTATTCATAAAGTTATTTTTATTTTTTATGGATAGTTCTGAGAAAGAGTCAACGCAGCATCGCTAACTACCGTCCTTGGCCGAGACATATATTCGTAATGGCTCATACTTTCGTTTACTACAATTGTTGTCGACAATGCTGATAATATACGATAACATCTCGTATTTATAATTAATATTTTGTTAATTTTGTTGTTTTTTTTAGGTGAATTAAAACAGACTTTCATGAAGCCATCTACAAATTTATAAATTAAAAATATACAAAGTACAAACTGCCACTGTCATAATTTTATTTGCTTAATTCCATTCGTAACTTCAGAACTCTATTTGCAAGCATCAAAGAAACCATGTAAAATTACACCTGTGATCACAAGAAGAAATTCCAAGCCCAAGTTATTTTACTTAAAATGACGACATATGATGTAATTTCTTTTTGGCATATTATCCATCTATTAATTAAATAAAAAATACTCTTGACAGCTTTTAAATCTAACAAGCTCGCGATGTCTTCCAAATACTCTTCTTTCGAAGATCTGCTTTATGGGATCAAAGACCAACAAATACTGAAGCGAGAGTTTTCAAACATTCCGCTATTATTTTCGCAGCATTCGTCTGGATGTAAATTGTAGCAGAAAATAGAGCGTACCTTATACGAGCAAACTTATACACCGTTTCAGAGCATCCCCTTTCAAGCACTTTCTCCCAGCTGTTAGATCGATCGAACTTCGAAGGGAGCAACATACGCTTCCTGACACGCTTTTCAGTAACTGCAGAAGCAACACACCATCAGCGATCATCAACGTATCCTCTTCATGATACACTCAAACCGCTTTACAGTTTTATGAATGACAACTTGCGTCCACGTGTCATCTACTATAAAATACATGGAGCATCGACCGCCCCCGACTCTCTTTTACATACGATTATAGCCGACTTTAGCCGACCACCGACGTTTAGTGGTCGACGCCGGTTTGCCACCGACTGGCTGGTCGTTCGACGCCTAGCCAAGGCTGAGGTCCAATATTCGTATCTACAGTAAGGTCTAATGTGCATGCGCGATAACTTTGTGCGTCATCGACAGTACCTTGTACTGATGTGATATGTTCAATACATACAATTAATCGTAATTTAATTAAAAGAATACTTTCTTTTATTTTTCTCTCTTTTTTTTTCTACATATTTAATGTCAATTGGAGAAATAACGATGAAGAAATCATAATAATTAGTTATTACATAATAATTTATAATAATTAAATAACAATAATCAGCTATTTAAATAATATTAAATGTTTATATTTATATAAATATATAATAGATATAATATTAAATGTTTATATTTATTGAATGTTAATATATTAATAAGTCATATATTTTGAAACTGTATCATCGTAACACTGGGCAAATTATAAAATCATAGGACAATATAACGTTGCATATATTAGATTCTTTTGTTTTTCTTAATTTATTATAAAGAAAATGAAATAATTCTTGAATTACTTGAATAACATCGTGATTTTCACAGAGATGGCGCCTAATGCTCTTTTCTTCTCGTATTATTCAAGAAATGAACTATGTCACATTACATCAGATCTATATACATAAATAATGTACAACTTTTCAAAAATAATGCATAAGTAATATACAATGATACATAATTTTGTATATACAAAAATAAATATGAAATTTATAAATCAAATAAAGGCATAAAGTTTCTATTTAAATCAGTCTTTCTTATCAAGATTGACTCTTAGACATCCAACTGCTTCATTATATAATGGAAAATTGCGAGTATTGAGAAACTAAATCCCAATGGTACACAGGTTGCCTTAATCCACGCCCATACACTGCAAATACGCATATTTTGACATTGCTTTAATGAATTGTAAATTCAAAATGCTGTGTCACTAAAAGAGTATTTTAATGAAAGGCAAATATGGTGGTTAAAAAAAATAAATAATATGCATTAAAAAATATTTTCAATTACTTTGTAATTATTCTACAAGCGTAATCTTAATATTATTTTTATATCTACAGTCTACAGTCTTTTCATTCGCGTAATCACATCATAAAACAATCAAGAATACCTAAAAATTCTGGAATGTAACATAAGTTGTATCTATGGAAGCATATAAGATATTTATATTTATAGCTAACTTTATACGCTAATATTACTTAACTAAATTAATAATCATTGATGTGATGATTAGACTTACTTCATCTCTCAATCTACAATGTCATTATACAAACATAATTATCAGCATACAGTAATTAACAGCGGGAGGTAACAACGATTCCATTAATCTACGGAAAAGATAGCGAAAAAATTAATAATATTAAAATTGAATAAAAAAATAGTAAATTACTCATAAGGATTATCTGCTATAGTAAATGGCTCTGTTGGAAGAATTCCACTATCATAGATTACGACAGGCACGCGTGGAATGTCATCGCTATCAGTTTTGATCTGTTCGATCTTGAATACAATAGCTTCACCGCTAATCACCTACAAAAAAAATTAAGATTACAATTTAAAATTATACAAAACAATATCTTAAATAAATAAAATAGATTGATTGAAATATATTGAGAGATTGAAACACTAATTATAAATATAAAAATTTCTCTGATAGATTATCTTTCATATTTATGAATGACGTGAACAAATAGATAATAAATTATATATTAATAATTTTATATATTTTTTTATTACCTTTCCAAATGCTGTATGTTGATTATCTAGCCAAGGTGTTGCAATGGTAGTGATAAAAAATTGACAACCATTGGTATTTTTTCCAGCGTTTGCCATGCTGACAAACAATGGTCCAGTATGTTTCACCTCAAAAGTTTCATCGTCAAAGTATTTGCCGTAAATACTAAGGGAACCTGTACCATCACCATTTTCGACATCACCACCTGTAATATATGTAATATATGTATAATCATAAATTAACAATGCATTATTGCATTAATAAATGAATAACTTCTAATAAAGAAGATAAAGAAACCTTGAATCATGAATTTTTTATTACTCGATGAAATTTGGTTCCTGCATATTTTTTTCCAGCTACACCAGTAGTAGCAAAAGTGATAAAATTTTTCACTGTTTTCGGTGCAATATCGCCGAACAGGCCAATAATAATCCTACCAACTGGATGATTGTCAATCATAATATCCAAGTACACTTGATCAGTGACTTTGTATGTTTCCGTCTAAAAACAAAATTTAATTCTTTCAAATATTTATTTTTTTTAAATAAAATATCGTATAAACTTTATTTGTTACAGTAAATTAAAAATTAAGTTCTATATATATAGAACTTAATCATGTAGTGTAGTGTTGTAATGTGTGTGTGTGTGTGTGGTGTGTAGTGTGAGTGTGTGTTCGTGTTAGTGTTAGTGTTGTGTGTATTGTAGTTATGTGTGTAGTCGTGTGTTTACGTGTTTAGTGTAGGTTCTAGGTACGTGTTGTACGTAAGTATTAAGTTACTTAATAGTTTAAGTAACTTAGTTAAACTTTAAATTTAAATTTAATAACTTTAACTTAGTACTTAGTTATTAACTGTTACTATAATTAATACGTATAAGTACTTAAGATAGTTAACTTAAAGTTAATTTAACGTTAATTAAGAATTAAAGGTAAATAAAGTTACTTAAGTTTAAATTAAAGTTTAAACTTTAAATTAAATTTAAAGTTTTTAAAAACTTTAACGTTTAAAAACGTTAGTTTAACTTTAACGTTTAACTTTTTAACTTTAAAGTTAATTTAACGTTTAAACTTTAAGTTTTAAGTTTAAACTTTTTAACCGGTTAAATTTTAAACGTTTTAACGTTTTAAACGTTTAAACGGTTTAAACGTTTAAAACGTTTAAAAAAGTTTTTAAAAAAACGGTTTTAAAAACCGTTTTAAAACGTTTTAAAACGTTTAAACTTTAAAGTTTAAACGTTAAAACGTTTAAACTTAACTTAACTTAACGTACGTTAGTTAGTGTACGTAGTGTGTGTGTGTGTGTGTGTGTGTGTGTGTGTGTGTGTGTGTGTGTGTGTGTGTGTGTGTGTGTGTGTGTGTGTGTGTGTGTGTGTGTGTGTGTGTGTGTGTGTGTGATTAAGTTCTATATGTATATGTAATTTTTAATTAAAATTTAATACTTATACTTATACTTATTACTTTCTTAAGATTAAGCAATGTTAAAAATCATGGATAAACTTAAATATTTTTATAATAGAAAATAAGAAAACAAGTTTTTGCAAATTATAATTATATTTTAAAATTATAACTAGTCATTACTTTATTTCATTACTAATTATTTATTTAGTTACTACTTAATTTTAGTATTAATTATAAAGAAGCAATTTCTTGTAATATATCTAATTTTTCTAATAGTTTCAAATTGCAGTAAAATTATTTTTTTGAACAAAATTTTCTAAGAATAAATAAGATTTATATTATTTTAAATATTTGTATCATGTATGTACATATATGTATGTATATGTGTACAGTTCATATATATAAAATGTTAGTACTACTTTATGTTTTGAACATTGCAAATGCTTGAAGCTACCAGAATAGAGTCATTAATTTAATGTGCGTCCTTAAAATCCGCAAATTGCGTTCAAAATGACATATTATATTTACAGAGAAATTGCTCGCGTGCAAAGTTCTATATGTTCATGCACACGTGCATTTATCAAAGCGAGTGAAGAAACCTTACGGTGTGAAAAGGTAACACTTTCTGACCTTACTATTACTATTTTATCTATTTATTTTATAAGAGTTTTTCAAGCTTCAGTCTGAACAGACAGCTTATCGTAACATAATATGCGCAAAATAGGTTTTATCATGTCGATATAATTGATATAGAATTTTCATCATTGGATTTATAAAATAACATCTTAGTTACGGTTCACCAAAAATAATTACAATCAAAATTCGGTGTAATGCGATAATAAACGATAAAATGAATTTCTCTTTTTTATATTATGAAGCAATGCAGAAAAAAGCAGTAATACAGAAACGTCTTATAAATATTTGCAAATGGTTGCAATTTGATAAAATATAAAAAAAAGGAAGAAAAGTTCTTTTAATACAAACGGTTAATTTTTATGTTGTTATCGAATAGTTAGAATTAAATGTTAACGGTATTCAAAAATGCAGTTACGATGGAAAAGATGTAATAAAATTGTCTTAAAAATATACAACAAACGGTACCTTAGTGGTTGATGCTACAGCCAAAAGAACGACGACCGTCAACCGACACTTCATACTTTTACGATTTCCTAAATGTTATTCTGGTGAATATTGGACGTTACAGTACAGTTTTTTAAATCGGTTATTCGCGATCACGATCGCAACGTAGCAGTGCAAGAATGACGTGCAGAAGCCGCATGTTTGTCCGCGATTTGCGTCGTTGTCTAGAACTGAGTCGACGCTTTAAATTAAATAAAGCATTCGTGCATCAATGAGTTGGTTGCGACAATAAATTCTTATTAAATAATAATATCCAAAATATTAAAATAAATATGAATATAAATGAATGAATAAATTATATAAAAAATAATTATATAATTTAAAAAATAAATGTAGTTAATGTAAAAAAAAACAAAAAATTCTAATTACTGAACTATGGGCTTATACATATTTTTTTGATATATACAAATTCATATTAAAAATTCTATAATCTTTTTGAATATTGGCCAATATAAATCTTTTATTTCTTTAGCTAACGTCATGAAAATTTTAATATTTATCTTCTTTTGTACTCAAAGAGCTTAAGAAGTTATATCAATCATCAATAATTACTTTATTCTCAAGAACATTAAATGTTTTTAATTTACATGTTAAAATTTGCTTTTTCTTATCAGATCTGTCTTGTTTTTCCTATCATCATAATTGGCGTACTGATATAATTTTCCGAAATTTTTGTTTTACTGTCTGAATTGAATTTAACTTATTTCTTTTATTTTTTTAAATTTGATTTCTTTTTTTATAATATATTATAAGTTATAATATAATAAGTTATATTATAATATTTTATAAGTTTTTGAAAAAATTAAAGAAGTACAAACATAATGTCAATATTTGTTGTGTTTTATAATACAATAGTTATATAGAATAAAATATTTAGATCGAGAGAATCATCATGTTGAGCGTCATTTCTCCTTAACCTGTGTTCATAACAAGTGTTACGCTACGTAAACATGCCAAGATAAAGGAAGTCAAACGTTAATATTATTTCAAATTACGAGACATTGGCCGTCAATAAGTATAATTAACGTCGATACTTTTAATATTGTTTAAATGTCAAACATTTGACGCAATACTTCATACATCATAAGATAAGCATTGCTATAAAAGCATTTATCATTTGCAAAACAGTTTGACTGTTTGTTTTATCAGTACTTATTGTTCACTACAAGTAAGTAAAAATTATATATATGTATGTATATATATTAATTATATATAATATTATTATATGTCTTGTATTGCAAAAGCTTACATTAACAGAAAAAAGAAATCTATTAATAAATAGCATATAAATTAGACAATTACAAATAGAGATTTGTTAATTCATATCTTGAAAATTATTTTCTAAAAAACGTTTTGGAAAATTATTTTATATTATATATTATTTTTATTATATATATATAAATGATTAAAAAAAGACATTACAAAAAGGCCTGTTTTTGCTAATAAAATAGACATCATGTTTGTTATAATTTTGAGGCGAGAAATCTGATGGTGCTAGTTAGAGTTATGTCAAATGATGGGAATATATAAAAAGCTAAGTTTAAACGTGAAAAAACGTGTGGCAATCATTCGCAAGACAGGTTACTATGCTACATGCATCGATAGTAGACAGTGTGATACATTATTTTTGATATTAAAAGTATAGAATATCTTGTAGAAGTACATGACTCTTATTTTAAATGAAATCATAACGAAATTGTATCTAAAACTCATTAAAATTGGAAGGGAATGGAATGTTTAGTTTCGTGTTTTGATTTCGTATTTTTCTGTCTTGTAAGCACATCTTCGATATATGCTTGTAACGGATTCGACAATCTTCGGACTCATGATCGAATAATCCCGTTATCTCCGATAGCTGATCGTGTCGCGTGTTATAAAAGCTGTGTACATTCTGTTCTTCAGAACAGTTTCGACGAAAATGGACAACGGTGTACGGCTACCAATAGAGCGTGTAAAATGGATCACGTTGATGACGATGACAATCGTCATCTTCGTCGTCGATGCATCCACACTGGGACAAACAAAAGAATCTATAATTCTTGAATCAATTCAAGAAAATATGACCCAAAGGACCTTTCTGCGCAAAAGGTTTCTTACGAAGGAGACTACGTTTTGAGGATCCACAAGCATAACATGTCCGTGCAAGAATTAATGGAACGTTATGAGGAAGACGGTTGTACGTAACAAATAAAATATTAAGATATTATATCTTTGATTTAAAATAGATCTATATCGTTAAAGATTGTAAAAGAACAATAACTAAAGTAAAGTTATTCTTTTAGCATTATCCATATGGTCGAGCAGTGGGTCTACTGCCGATATTTTCGTGCGAAGCTACATGTTTAATGATATTAGGTCGATATTGGAAAATCACAGAATCAAATTCATAATTTTAATCGATGATGTGCAAGAAGCGATCGCAAATGAAAATACTCCTCTCACGATGTTAGCGCAAGAAGAACTCGAGGGACGCAAAGGTTCGAAACTTTTATTACAATTATATTAATTAAACTTTACAATTTATTAATCGATATATTGTGTGATAAAGTTACTGCAATCATTCAGCGATTGCAATCTTATTAATAAAAATAAAAATTTTTTTCATAATTAAGTAATGAACTGATATTATCTATATCTATGTAAATTAGTATTTTTTGACATCTGTACGCATCGCTGAATGTTTTTCATAGAATTTTCATTAACAACTTACATGGGATCATTTAATCGCTGCTTACACCGTTTATGTACAGTTATTCATTATTTTTCATCTTTTGACATTATCTTTTGCATTATCAAAGAAGTAACTGTAATGTGAATCCATTGTGAATCCAAATTAATTTAATACTTGATTGTTATTACATTATTATTATATTTATATATTATTAGTATATTGTTATCGAAAAAATTTACTATATGGTATTGTAAGTATGATATCATAAAAATCATAATTGAAACAGAAATGTCTACAAATCATCTCATCTCTACAAATTATATTAATAGTCAATTATTTTAAATTATTATCCAACTCGTTCATCTTCAAAAAGAAACAATTGGAATCGAATCGAGGTTATCGGCCTCGAGTGAATCCCACTTGGTAACCCGGTTCCGCTTTAATGCTGATTAACATTAACAGTTATACTTTATTTGCATGAGCAAGTAAAGTATGCAAGGCGTGTAAAACACACGTGTAGTCTTTGCACGTACAGACGCTTCGCCGCAATTCGATGTTTTTTGCGATCGTTTGCATAGCTGATCGATTTTCAATGCCGTTATCCGATACGAATTCGATAAGTTTTAATTTTCGATCATGCGTATTTGCGTATGAAAGTTTCTACGTTTAAAAATAATATAATAAAAATAATATAATATTTTGAAAAATCAAAAATTTCTGCAACGCGTCGCGAAGCGAGCTGTTGGGATAAATACTTGGTCATTATCATAATCGTATCGTTTCCGTTACCGAAGTGAGGTTTCCAGTCATTTTTTAGCTCGTTACGTTTGGTGGCAGGGAGTCAGAAATAGATATACACGTCCTCGTCCTCTTCGTTATCCTGTAACTAGTGTACATGGTGGAGGTGGTCGTTGGCATTTTAGGGGTGAGCTTTCTCAAGCGCGTATAATTCGCTTCGTCGATTCAGAACGTTATACATGAATTTGTACACACCAAAATATTACATTTAATAAAATAATGGTTTAGAAAATGACAAACCATATCGAGCTGAATCTACGAAGCGCTTGTTATACAGGCGCACGAGGGCATGGAACATGCAATCTCTTGAATAATCTTGAAGGTATATCCATCAGGTCATCGAATGGAATGGACCAGCTATCATCAACTAAAGGATATTCTGGGATACTTGGATTATCTCGCGGACACTTATCCTGATGTCTGTTCCGTTCAAACCATTGGTCGGTCTATCGAAGGTCGGGAGTTGAAGGTATTATCTACATTTCATTTTTGCACCTATATTTGAATACTAATTAAAATTTTCTTACAAATGTTAAGCTTCTAAGAATCAGTAACGGTAAGCCGAACGCACCTGCAATCTGGATCGATGGTGGTATTCACGCAAGGGAATGGATATCGCCGGCAGTTGTGACTTATATCATAGATCAATTGGTTGAAAACAGCGAAAATCTCGATGTGGACTATTACATTTTACCGGTAGCTAATCCGGATGGGTACGAGTATACATTCGCTCACGATCGTTTATGGAGAAAAAACAGAAGGAAAGGAACCATTTGTTCAGGTGTTGACTTGAACAGGAACTTTGGTTATCATTGGGGAGGAAAGGGAACAAGTCGTAATATGTGTCATGAGACGTACGCAGGCACGAAAGCATTCTCCGAGCCAGAAAGCGATGCCATTCGAAATTTCTTCGAGGCTAGTTTGGCAAATTTCAAGGTCAGTTAACAAATTTTAATAAAACACTCGAGAGTTTTTATTTGTTTTATTTATAGTTCTCTATTCGTTACTTTAACAGAACGAATTAATGACAATGCTACAACTGAAAACTATTTGTTAATATCTTAAGCATAACAGTTACGAATGGTTACGACAGTTAGACCATACATTATTTTTAAAAAGAATATTATAAATTTTGATCTTTAATCAATTCAAACAACAATTCAGTTTTTACATTTAACTTTGCATTAAAAATTTTGAAATAAGATCTAGAAATCATTAAATCATTGTATTATATTCCTCTTACAGGCGTATTTGTCGTTCCATTCCTATGGACAGTATATCCTTTATCCATGGGGCTATGATAATCGTTTGCCAGTTGATTACGCTGATCTTGACAGAGTAGGAAAGCAAATGGCAGCAGCTATGGAGAATGCAACAAATGATGATATAATATATACCGTCGGAAATAGTGCTTCAACGCTATATCCCGCTGCTGGTGGCTCTGATGATTGGGCAAAGGCATTGGTCAAAATAAAATATGCATATACGATTGAACTGCGCGACACTAAAAGTTTTATTTTACCAGCTCGTTATATTATTCCGACAAGCAAAGAAGCGTATGCTGCGGTGAATGTAATTACGGAAATTTGCAAAACGGCTTCGTAATTGAAATTTGATTGTCAAATGTTAAATTAGAAAATAGCTTCTAGCCAGAAAGATGTAAATTGGAGGGATATATTTAAATAATTATTTTTGTATATTATTACAGGTGTAAATGTTTTTTGAAGATACAATGTAGTGTCTAAATTTTATAATTTTAACTTGACGTTGTTAAATCTATTTTAATTTGACGATGTTAAATCTATTTTTGTAATGATTATTTTGTAATAATTATTTTTATTATTGCTTGTTATTAAATTCCATTTTATTCTACAAGTTTTATTTTATATGTATTGATATTTAAATTTGATATTAGAATACGCATTATATATTAGTTAGCGTATCATTGCGACATACATTGATATATACATTTAAAATAATAGCATTTTTGTTAATAAAATACTATTTGTTAAATAAAATAAAAACAATTAACAAAATTGTTTATAAATATTTATTTTATCTGATCAAATTATAATTTAGTTTTTACTTTAAGTAGGTTAAAATAAAAACATTATTAAGTTTATTTATGCTGCATATTTATTTTACATTGAATAATATATTATATAATTCGTCATCAGTATACATCGATACGTCGTCAATATAATCGTTATTAATTGTTCGTTATTATATTATTAATCCAATCGATAAATACAGATACTCTACAGTATACGGATGGTGCACCGTCACTACCACATGGAATAATACCCCAAGAAACTATTCCAGTTTGTATCGGTTTTCCTCCTATACGCGAGATTAGGGGGCCACCGGAGTCACCCTGTATTAAAGATTTAATAAATTAAATTATCGTATTAATAAATGGTAATAAAATTACTGTACTTATAATTTACTAAAAGTTTGCAACTTACACTGCATGCGGAGATTCCTTCGTGCAACGGTCCAGTGCAGACATTAGTTTCATGAACGGGAGAAGATCCAGTCAGCTTTAGCACAGCTTCGTAACAGGTATCGCGATCGACATATTCCATCTGAACTTGTTGAAGTTTATCGGGCATATCTGGGAAAATACCTCTCGATGTGGAACCCCATCCACTAAGCCATGCCTCTCCCGTTGGATCACTTTCTGGTTCAGCCAATTCGATGGGCTGTACTCTATCTGTGATCTCCAATGAACTTTGAAGTCTAAGCAGACCAATATCATATGGACCCACGCCACTAAAAAAATTATACATTTATTAATTACAAATCTTTGAAAACAATTATATTTAAACAAAAAAATTGTATTAGTAATACTAGTAATACAAATAATAATCTATGGAATTAATGAGAATGTGAATGCAATTTAATAGAAAATATTAAAAATTATTGTGTGCATCGTTACTTATCTAAGATATAGTTTATTTAATCATTAAAATCGAATAATAATAATAATAATAATAATAATAATAATAATAATAATAATACCAATGTCAATACTGTGTCATTATTTCGTCTACTGCATATATCTTACAAGAGATGCAAATTGATGCAAAAGTTATTATATTTGAATTGTTCGTACTTATTGCTTTACTTACCCTCCGTATCTTTCATGTTTAAACATTTCCGATACTCGAACTGTTTGTTCACTATCCTCGGTCCTCATAATGTTATGTTTTCCAGCTACGACTCTAAGACTACTTGGCGAAGAAACTGCTTCAACGCAATGTGCCGCCGTCATAACCCAATCTTTGTTTATAATAGATCCGGCACAAAAGTGTTGACCAGAAATTTGAAGAGAAACGATGTATGGGTAACCTCCTTCTGGTGCTTCCTCACCCCCGACAATTTGCGGTGTGATCGGGCGGAAATAAGGCGGATAGATCGGCGGCATACGGAAACCGAGATGGAGTTTCTCTGAAATTTGAATTAACAACATTTTAAGTTTGCAATATATAAAATTGCACAAAAAATAACATAAAATCGTTGCATAAACTCAAATTAAAAGACTTTATAATAATATAAAGTAAAAGAATAATAGAATAAATTTCGCTTTGTAATCCATGAAATAGTGCAATAACTTAATTATTATTTATTTAATAATTTAAGATTTTCTTAAAATTAAGAAAATTTTTTAATATGTATTGATTTTCTCTTTTGTGCTCCTTTTTTAAACTTAATGAATGAATTTTTGTATTTGCAAATTATATATATTTTAAAAATCTATATAGAATTGACTTACCGGTTACCGCCAACGCTAGGAGAGCGAAGAAAACGATTGCTTTGGGAAACATGTTGCTGTTTGATGATAATTCAACAAACAGCTTCATTTTATACTTGTTTCGTTGAGTGCATTAGTACGATATCAATGATGACAATGCATTGATAATCCATTGTAATCTGCCAGAATTAATGATATATCTACGATAAGAAAGATTTCATTGCAGACGAGATTTTCTTTGTAATTTGAGATTGACGTTATATTGATATAATCATATCAAATCAAATGGCACGTACAAATGCAACAAATTTAGACAAAGCAGTATTATATATTATGCTATATACCGTACTGTTCATAAAAAATTTGATAAAATGTGTAAATTAATAAATTATAAAATAATAATTTATAAATCATAAAAAAAATGCATCATTTATTTATATCTAATGTTTAAGATTTCTTTTCATACATCCATTCACTTTATCAACTTAACTCGGTTTCTATTCTATAAGAAAAAATCAATGAATTAAAAGAATATTTGTTAATTGTTAAAAGTATCTTTTGTTAATGTGATAATAATTACAGCTTTATAAATTAATTAAATTTAACAAGAAGCAACAAATATAAAATGATGACACATATTATTAATAAAATTGTTCCTGTTTTCATTTGTTATTTGCTTTAATATTATTTAAATCAGACTAACATGCTAATCAAATACAAAATTTATTTAAATAATAATAATAATAATAATAATAAAAATAATAATAATAATAAAATATTTTTTTAATTTTAATCGATTAAGCTACTGTTTAATTATAATGGATCATCCATCGGATAAACACCTCAGTTTATCGTTATCTAATTACAATCAATCATTATTTTTCCGTAAAGACATAAAAAGCATGCGGAAAACCAGTAATCTTATTTATGATAGAGTAAATTTACTTTTTATTTCATTTAATCATGAAGATTAAAGTGGATTTTCCGATTATTAATTCCGATGCACAATAAACGATTATCAAGATTAGGAATAAAATAATTATGGAGGGGATGTGTATAAAAGCCCGAGACATCATTGTGCAAAATATTTGTTTATCTCAGTCTTTTGTTAGCTTTTGATGCACCATTCTGTGCTGTGAGTAGAACTTTTAACTTATTACAAATAATACAGACAATCTAATTTAATCAATTTAATTACAAAAAAAAGGAATGCATATTTAAATAAAAATCTTGCATGAACAGCTAAAACAACGATGTAAAAGCTCTGTGAGAATAAAATTTACATTATAAGAATCAAGAAACAATTAAAAGAAAAATCAAATCTTTTCATCATAACAATTTATTTTGCATTATAATTATTAAATAAACTTTACAATAATTACTCACAATTAATTATTCTAAAATATTAGTATTTATATAGTATTTGTAGTATTAAAAGAATACACTTTAAATATTAACAATATTGTTCAAATATTTGATATTTAAATATTTAATAAGGTTATTTATTAAAAAAACAGATAAAATACAGCAGATAAAATCTTAATTGTTTTTTTCTTCTAACATAAATTATGCTGTTTCTACTTTATATCATTACGTGTTTCTGCTAAATAATTTCAAATTAATTGTTTAATTCATTGTATAATTTATTGTATTATTGTATAATTATAATTTATACATATTTAAATAAATTTAAATAATTTTATTTTATTATATTAAGTTACAAATTAAAAGTCAAAATTAACATTAAATTGAATTATTTATATCACAATATATATAGAGTTTGTATATGTGTAGAATTTATATAAAATACAAACTAAAATAATGAAATATACATTTAATTTTTTCTTAGCAATTTTAATAGCAATAATTTGAATGATGCTTAAGTGATGCTTTATCAATTACTAAAGAACATTATATAGATTATTTACCTTCTTGTTTTTTTCTTTTGTATTATACAAGAATTAAATAAAAGACATAAAAATTATAATTATATATAATTTATTTCATTTTTCACACTTTTTATTGAATATTATATAAAATGTAACATTATTGTTCTGAGTATTTATTTTAACTCTAATTATTATCGCTTTTTTTTAATTTACCGATTAAAAATATAAATATTTTCATAAAGCACATAATTATATTTTCATGATACGTGATAGATATATTAATATATCGACGTGAAATGACAAAAGATATTTAATATAATTATGCATTTATAATATTATTGATCCAATTAGTGTAAGAAGCTACACGAGTATAGACAGAAGGTAATTTAATGAACGCCGCATGGATAGACTCCCCATGAAACAACACCGATTTGAACGGAAACGTTATTTTCAATTTGAACTAATGGACCACCAGAATCCCCCTGTAAGAAAAATGAAATGTTTAATTAATAAAGATATTATGCAAATAAAATGTGCATTTAATCATTTTTCCTGATATATTAATAATAATTTTAAAAATTTTTGTCGTTCTCTCTCTCTCTCTCTCTCTCTCTCTCTCTCTCTCTTTTACATTCACTTTCGCGTATATTAAATATAATTTCATAATATATAACATAAATTTTATAATATTTCTAAAAAAATTAAAATTTAAAGCTTGTAAGATTGAACAAATACTTGCGCTGATGTTACATGTACATTAGTATATATTTTATATTAATAAAATTGAGAAATAATATTTCTTTTATAATCATGCAATTATAACTGTTATAGTATTAACTAATTGCAAGAAGAAGATATAAAAGATTTAAAATATACTTACAGAGCAAGCGGATGTTTCCCTAACGGCATCAGTGCAGATCATTGTATCATAGACTTTTGGTGTACCAACGATATCTTTCGGAAATTTATTTTGACAGGATTTGTTGTCTAGCAAGGGAACAGTAACCTTTTGAAGAACTTCAGGAAGTACTGGAAGCAATTCCTTGGAGACAGAACCCCAACCAGAAAGCACAGCATTTCCGGTTCGTACCTCATCTTGTTTGGGTAAGTGAACAGCGGATACTCTTTTGTTTAGTATAAGAGGAGTCTTCAATTTTAGAATAGCAATATCATATGGAGCAATACCCCT